GTGTGTGTGTGTGTGTGTGTGTGTGTGTGTGTGCGCGCGTGCGTGCGTGCGTGTGTGTGTACACACTTTTCTAGTCCTCTCTCCTGAGGCAGATATCTGTCAATCAATCCATCAGCAGCCAATTGTTCCATCCTCGCCTCAGATTTTGAAAGGAGCCACGCTTCAGGAATATCGGCAAGGCTTTGGCTCCAAGTCTCAAGTCTGAGTCCAGATCTTTGGTATCAAGTCCTGAGTCCCAAGAACCCCATTTAAAAAAATCTCCAGAAAAAAAAAAAGGACAAGGTGGGCGGGTTCTGAGTCTCGAGTTCTGTCAATCACTGGGGGAAAAAAACCAGAGTGTGAGTCGAATTGTCAGCGTGACTTAATTCTGCCTTGACAGCGGGTCCCCATCCCTGGCCAATATGATTACAGGGCTTAGAAGTATCTAGTTACAAATATTCAATTGTTTGGCAATTGGAGATGGCCACGAATTGGTTCGTCCCAGTTCATCGAGGTGGCAGCACAGGTACTGCTGCTCCCCTCCATGCCTCCTCTGGCTCAGTCAGCCACTCACCAGGCCCAGCCTCCATGATCTTCAACTGATCTTCCAGTCTTGGCAAGAGCTCAGGCTTCTCTGCCCCGCCCCCTTGGCTGATCTGCCAATCAGACAAAAGGGCGGGGCAGAGAAAGCTGTGCTCTTGCTCATGAACGGGAGATTAGCTTGTATTCCCAGCTTTCATTAGAAAACATCTGTAGCTCTTGTAAAATGCCAATATATAAGCAAAATAAGCACTCACTATTCTGATAAATTGTTTTATGAGAAACCTGTCTCTCAGTGTTACCTATTAGTCCACGAGTGAGGCCTCAGAGCTAGACTGACATTTTCCACATTTTATTATAAATCCATAAATTGAGAGTGATCCATCCCCATAATTCTCTGAGTCAATTTTGCAGTTTTATGGAAAAGGCCTGGTCTTTTTGCCACCTTCAAATAGTTCATGGAAATCAATAAAACCATAGGAATCCATGAGAGAGGTTATACAATAAAACAACATGCACATTCAACATAAAGGTGTAAGTACCATAATAGACATATTAGTCTTAATGCGACATGAACTCTTTTTGCAGTACTGCAGATGGTGACAGCAGCCACGAAATTAAAAGACGCCTGCTTCTTGGGAGGAAAGTGATGACAAACCTCGACAGCATCTTAAAAAGCAGAGACATCACCTTGCCAACAAAAGTATGTGTAGTCAAAGCTATGGTTTTTCCAGTAGCGATGAATGGAATTGAGAGCTGGACCATATTGGAAAAGACCTTGATGTTGGGAAAGTGTGAAGGCAATAGGAGAAGGAGACAACAGAGGACAGTGTCATCGAAGCTAGCAACATGAATTTGACATAACTCCGGGAGGCAGTGGAAGACAGGAGGGCCTGGCATGCTCAGGTCCATGGGGTCACGAAGAGTTGGACACGACTTAACAACTAAACAACAACAAAAAGAACAGTACAGTGTTAAAAGTGGTGCATAAAGTGTGAAGGCAATAGGAGAAGGAGACAACAGAGGACAGTGTCATCGAAGCTAGCAACATGAATTTGACATAACTCCGGGAGGCAGTGGAAGACAGGAGGGCCTGGCATGCTCAGGTCCATGGGGTCACGAAGAGTTGGACACGACTTAACAACTAAACAACAACAAAAAGAACAGTACAGTGTTAAAAGTGGTGCATCAGAACTTTAGATATCTCTATTGAATTTGCAGGATTCCCAGTGTGATATA